CTAGATATATTACTTACATTCTGCCTATTTTACAAGATTACTGTTTCTTGCATTACCAAATGTGTGACTGAGTCTCAGATAAAATTAATGATGATGAGGTGACCTGAAATGATTGACCAAATACATAGTCCTATAAAATCAATGACTGTAGTAGTGTAATCTTTGGTATGGGGAGAAACAAGAGGAGGGAACCATTTCCTGGACCATAACAGACTAGTAAGACAGGTGGTCCAGAGGCTTTTGGCTACTATTAACAGCGCCCAGTCCAGGAACAACACATTGAATGGCCTATCAACAAAAGCCTCACCTGACTTGGAAATAGGCATTTTTCACACCATGGGACAAATTGGTCACAAAATGCCTCCCTAACCCTTGGTTAAAATTAAGACCGAAAGAGAAGGGATTGTAAAATAAAGAATGTTGCTCACCATCCAGTTCAAGAATTGAGTCATTAACCACTGCAGTCTCTGACCTACACTACACCTCGAATGGAATTCAGGGCAAATATCAGGATGAGGTCCTCTGTGCTCTGGGAAAACTGACAGAACTGGCCCTCATATAGAGATTTTCATGAACTTGATTCTTCCCATACTTAGAAAAGCACTAAAACCATTAATTAAGATGTCTGTTCCTTGTGACCAGCTGCAACCTTCTACCGAAATGTATGCTGGATGGCATGTACCCCCTTCGCCAAAATCACATATGTACTGACCCCCCCACCTACGTCTTCCCCACAGTTCTCAGAGCTCTCTGGGAGACTGTCTCCCAGGTTATAATCCTCAGTTTGGCGTGAATAAAAATTTCCACTTCTTTCTTAGTTTGACCGTTTTTTGTTAACATGCTCATCTCTCATTTTCACCCTAACTCCTCACTCTTACCCCCAGCTCTTCCTCAGTCTCACTATAATCAGCTGGCTCTGCCTGGTTCATTGAGGAGAAGACTGAAATCATGCACTTCTACCTGTCCCTGGCATCGTAACTGGCCCAGAAACAGTCTTCTCTCCTACTCTTCCCTTTCTTTGAAGCCATCCCTTTTTGGACATCTTGGGGAACTTCCACAGAGTAAATACTCAAAAAGTGTTCATTGAATGAATACATTTATTCCATCTCTTCTCCAGTCTTTTTCAATCTCCACCTCTATTTGGGTTCAAAGAGGTTTTGCACATATCTTTGATCACCCTTGTTCATTAGAATAAAAGATTGATAGATGTTGATTCTATTCCATTTCCTATTTTTTGAACAGCTTTATTGAGGTATAACTTATATACCACAAAATTCACCTGTTTTTAAGTGCACAAATCAATGAATTATAGTGAAGTCACAGAATTGTGCAAACTTTACACAGTCAAGTTTCAGTGTTTCCATCACTCCCTGAGTATCTTTCATGCCCATTTATAGTCAGTTACCATTGCTTAGTCCCAGCCCCAGGAAACCACTAATCTGCTTTCTGTCTCTATAAAGTTTCCTTTTTCGGGCTATTTCATATGAATAGTTATGATATGTAGTCTGACTCCTTTATGTGTTTTGTTGGTGAGTGGTATTCTCTTGTATGGATATTACACATTACATTTTGTTCCTCCACTCACCAATTGATTGGTGTTGGGAGTTTTTTCACTTTTAGGCTATTATTAATAACACAGTTATGAACATTTGAGTACAGGTCTTTGGGTGGACATTTGTTTTCATTTCTCTTGCATAGATTCCTAGGGGTAGAATTACTGGGTAGTACAGTAAGTTTATGTGTAACTTTTTAACAAACTGCCAAAAACATTTTCCAAAGTAGCTGTACCATTTTATATTCCCATCAGCAAAGTATGAGGGTTACAGTTTCTCTACATCCTCACTAACACTTGTTATTACCTGTCTTTCTTTTACTGTAGACATTCTAGTGTGTGTGAAGTACTAGCTCATTGTAGTTTTAATTTACATTTCCCTAATGGCTGAGATGTTGAGCATCTTTTCATTGCTTATTAACATTTGCAAGGAGGAGGGTATATAGCTCAGTGGTAAGAGTGTGTACTTAGTATGCACAAGGTCCTGAGTTCAATCCCCAGTACCTCCATTTACAAAAAAAATACATAAATAAAACCTAACACCCCCCCAACTAAAATTTGCATATCTTCTTTAGTGAAATGTCTGTGCAAATGTTTTGCTCATTTAAAAATGGGTTGCTTCTCTTGTTATTGAGTTGTAAGGGTTCTTTATATATACTGGAAACAAGTCCTTTATCAGATATATGATTTGATGTTTTTTTCTCAGTCTGTGGATTGTCCTTTTATGTTCTCAATGTTGTCTTTGAAGTACAAAATTTTAAAATTTTTATGAAATCCAATATATATCAATTTTTTTCTTTTATACATCATGATTTTGGTGTCAATTTGAAGAACTCTTTGCCTAACCCAACTGTTATGGACTGAATATTTCTGCACTTCCAAAATTAATTTGTTGAAACCCTACTCCCCAATGCGGTATTAGGAGGTGGGGCTTTTGGGACGTGATTAGGATGAAATCATAGGGGTAGGGCTCTCATGAATGGGATTAGTGCCCTTAAAAGACTCAGGAGAGAGTTTGCTTGCTCTGCTCTGCTCTCTACCATGTGAAGATACAACTAGAAGTCCATAGTCTGCACCTTTGAAGAAGGTTCTCACCAGAAATTGACCATGCTGTCACTCCGATCTCAGACTTCCAGTCCCCAGAACTGTGAGAAATAAAATTCTGGTTTTTATAGGCCATCCAGTTTATAGCATTTTGTTATAGCAGCCTGAGCTGGCTGTCTTAACCAAGGTCATGAAGATTTTCTCTTTTATTTTCTTCTAAAAGTTGTATAGTTTTAGCTTCTTCATTTAAACAAAGGAGATAGATCTGATGAACCTCTCAGGACATAATGTTTAACATGACTGACTACCCATAGTCTTTCAACCTAGAGGGTGCTTGATACATACTTGCTTAATGGGTAAATAGGAAGAAACCCTTTAGCTCAATTCTTGGGCTGATCCAGAGTTTCATATACAATCTTTAGTTAAGAATACAGTACACTAAGAGGTCCAAAATGAATTGCATTTCTACGCTCATGTGTGAACAAACCTTCACCTTCAATGAGCCAGAGATTCTTAGGGATTCAGCAGAAAACAGAGGACAACCTAGAGCCAAATGAACTTTCAGGGCAGCTCTTGAAGTATTTAGCTTCATAGTCTGAACATACATCTCTACAATTGGACTAGAGCTAGATCAGTTCTAAAGGGGACTGGAGGGCTAGATTTATCTAACAAACTAAACGAGCTAAAATTTAGTTAGATACAGTATTAGGTAAAGAAAGACAAAGCAATGTATTTTCTTGTTTTAATGCGGAAGTCTTACTAAGTTTACAGACTTCAGAGAAAGCCAGCAGAGAATGTAGCTGAAAATGAGAAAGACAGAGGCAGAGAGAGAGCAAGAGTAATTGATGAAGTCGAGTCACAAGAGAATCCAGAACCCTCTAGGGAATCCAATTACTCTGCAGAGAGGGAATCGAGAGAAGGGGAGGGAAGAATATTGCCATTTCACTTTTATAACCTGGTATTTATCTAAAATTTTAAGGTAACAAATAGGTATTAATTTTATAATGGAAAAACTTTTTAAAAAGCCCAGCAGAATTAGCTTTGACATGATACATGGAAGGAAAAACTCCATTAACTGTTCAGCTCACATGATCTCCCCCTTTTGCTCTAGACTGTGAACCTTGAAAGGGAAGGACTGGTGCATACTGCCGTATCCCAGACTCTATAGCAGTACAGGCTCAGCATGCAGTAGGTGCTTAATATATTACTGAAGAAATGAATGAATAAATGAAACTCTTTGGAGGCCAATCCCGCAGTATCTATTAAAATTCACAATGCACATACCTCGCAGTTTCCCTCCAGGCTTCGTTTATAGTCCTGCACACGTGCAAAATAGGGAATGTAGAAGGTTTACTGCGGCCCTGTTTGTAATAGTGAAAGGGGAAAACCACCTAAGGTCAACTTTTAAAATATATCATCTATATTTATACAATGAAATACTATGTAGTTATGGAAGGATCTTTCATTCTGAAAATTCTTTTGCTACCTTTGGCAAATACACATATGAGACATGACTATCTTAATTCCTTTGGTAATATCACTAGAAGAATGATCTCTTTAATGAGGCTTTTTTCCCCCAGCTCTGGATCTTCTGCTTTTTCTTTCTTTAAGAAAATTACTTTATTGCGTGTGTTAAAATATTACTGAATTCTTATAGGCAGCTTTCTAAGGGGTTTTGAAATGTTTTACCCCTATTTCTCTTTCTGTGCTTCACCTCACTTTCCATGTTTGCACCTGTGTATTTATTTGTGTTGATCTGCTCAGCAGCTGTCTGTCCCTTCTGACTGTCCAGGTGACATTTTGAAAGTTCACTACTTTGCACCTAGTCTCAAAATAGTGTGTCTTGGCAAAGATGTGAAACAATGAAGATGCTCATACACGATTGGTGAGAGTGTCAGTGGACAGCATCTCTCCTTTTTATCTAATAAAGTTAAAATGTGCATCATGGGCAGTGACTCCACCTCAGATTATCAGCCCCAGAGGAATCTTAAAAGATATATTTAGCCACTGCATACATCTTAGCAGAGTCATGGCAGAGCGATACTTTCTTAGCCCTGGGGAGCTGTGAACCTTCTGCTTTAATTTTTTTTTTATTGAAGTATTGTTAATTTACAATGTGTTAGTTTCTGGTGTACAGCAAAGTGATTCAGTTATATATATACACATATTTTCCTTTTCATATTTTTTCATTTTAGGTTATTACAAGATATTGAATATAATTTCCTGTGCTGTACTATAGGACCTTCTTGTTTATCTATTTTATTTATAGTAGTTAGTACCTACAAATCCCTAACTCCCAGTTTATCCCTTGCTACCCTCTTCCCCACAGATTCACAGACACAGAAAACAAACTATAATGAGGCTTCTAATGGTAAAGAGAGTATGGATTGACAGGTAGAAAGAATGAATAGCTTTTACAGTTTTATTTAATGAGTATTAATTTCCTTGCAGGAAAAGAGGATTTCTAGCAATTAAATAATACTCTAATATGAAGAAAGATGTATCTGTACACACATAACCTTGTTTAATATAGATCTTCTCTTTGTAGACACCAATTCATGAATAGGCCTAAATTGATAGTACCTATTTCATTTATTACGGGTAGAGATTTCCCATTTTACAAACAAACCTTAGTTAAAGGAATAGGTTCAGGGTTTCAGAATGTCTTTAGTATACGTTTGCTGCTACTGGAGGGGCAGAATTCCCTTGCCATCCGTCAGGCGACACCCACTTGCAGCTGCAGGGCACTCTGCAGGAGTACTCTTCTACTCCAGATTTAAGTACAAACAGCGGGGAGGGAAATAGCTTAGTGGTAGAGCACGAGGTCCTAGGTTCAATCCCCAGTACCTCCATTAAAAAAAAAAGCATATAAAGATGATGTATACGGGATAATCCCCTGGTAACTATATATGCCCTCTGTTCTTATCAAACTATAATTTGCTTACTTTTCCTCAAATAAAATTTTCTCATTCCTATCTCTTTACCAGTCTCCCCCACCATCACCACCACCACCCTTTTTTCTCCCAGTTTCTCTAATCTGGAATCCTATATAAGCTTCTATGCAAATATAACGTTTTCAAGGGTCAAAGTACTATCTTGCCCTTAAAGGACTTAGGTTAAAGACATAGGAAGATTAAAGTCTTCCCTGCCTATTCTACCCTACGGTAATCTAGGTAGATTCTGACCCTTTTTAGTCTTTATCAAACATTTGGATCTAATATTTTTGCTACCTAATACCACTAATTAGCTCTTCACAAACTTTTTTACCTTCCAATTAGATTGTAAGCTCCTTCAAGGCAGATTCCTATCTTCTGTTTTTCCTGTATTCCGCACGCACCTACACAGTAGATGCTCTACATATCCTGGTTTTGAAAAGTAACATGGTCAACCCAAACATGACTCAACATAGTGTTCTTTACAGATTTTTCTAGAGCCAAAATATGTTCTTTGTATAAACATGGATTTTCTGCTACCCAATCTTTTTCTCTTTTTTTTAGTTTTTGGTATCAGAATTCATCAGCTGACTCTGTGTCCCAGCCACAGGACTGCAGTTGTTCATCCTGTGGGAAATCAACTTCAATGTCATAAACAAAATTTGGATCATCCTTCTTCTTCTGATTTTTCTCAAAAAGTTCATCCATGATGCTCTTTCTTTTGGCAAGTTCCTTGTCATCTAGTTTGTTCAGGTCTTCCTCAGGATCAATGGTTGTTTCCCGCTGAATTTGTTCCATTGTTTCTGCCAAACTCTGCCCCAACAAGTAACCTCGTAAAAAACTGAATAACTTCTCTAGCTGCCTCAGGGATACTTGTTCCAGGTAGCCCTTGTGTCGCGGATTATTCTTTAGTTGTTCAGCAGCTCTGCTGCAATCTAGGAGGGAGGAACAAAACTATCATACCACACACACCACCACAAACTACTGAGGCACCACAATTACTGAAAGCATTGCCAGCCATTAAAGTCAAGTAGCTATGTGGCTTTTGGGGAATGAATTATTTTGCAGAACTATTTCTTTATCTCAAGCTTTGAGTGTGGTGGGGGAAGGAGGGATATATTTTTTATTTCCTTAACTTAAAATTACTTTGAGGAGATGTTAAATGCTTTTAACTGGAGAAAAGGTATGAGAAGAAATAGTATTACAGCTTTAGATATTAGTATTGGTACTAAGAAAATATCAGGACTATAAATAAAAAACACATTTGGAGGGAGAGAAGAGAGTTAATATTATTTGAAAAATGTTATCTCATTTAATTCACACTGCAGTTCTGAAAGGCTGGGTTTATCAATTTACTTTTACAGATTAGGAAACTCATGCTCACTGAGTAATTTAGCCAAGATCATACACCTACCCTGACTGTCATGACTTGAACCTAGGCCTATCTAACTATGAAGGCCACGTCACTCCATTACCTGAGACTCTAATCGTTCTTATTAAGTGGTTCAGAGAATATTTAAGATAGGAGGCAAGATAAAACAAGGTACCTGAAAACTTTGAAAAGTTTCGGACTGGCATGATGCGCTGGCGATTTTTCCCCTTCATTTCATTCTCATAGATTAAGATAATAGCCGGAGGCTGGAACCTAACTCCACATTTCTTGGCAGTGCACTTCATTCTCACATACACTTCAGGGTAAATCAGAGGAAGTCTGATGAAAATGTGTTAGTCACACAATGACTTCCTGCTAAAGGGGAAAAAAAATTAAGTGTTGGATAAACCACATTCCCTCCTACTCTTCCTCCCCAGCAGATCTGGCTCTAGTCCAGTCTAGAGATGCATGTGCAGTCTGTCAAGCTCTGTATTTCAAGGGCTACCTTGAAAGTTCAATTTGGCCCTGGGTTATCCTTAGTCTGTAGAATCTCTGGTTCACTGAGGAGTGTAGGTTTGTTCACAAGTGAGCCTAGAAATGCAGTTCAGTTTGGATCTCTTAGTGTATTGTACTCTTAACCAAAGATTGTATATGAACCCCTGCGTCAGCCTAAGAATCAACTTACAGGATCTTTTTTATTCACCAATTAAATAAGTATGTATAAGCTCCCTCTATGTCAAAGTATTAAGAGTTTTTTAACCTTATACATTATGTCCTGAGAGGTTCACCAGACATCTCCTTTGTACTTTCCCAATCATTTTACTCATTGAAATTTTTTGTAATTACTTATTTAATTAAAAAACTTCCCTTCCCTTCTATTCTTTATGCTCCACAAGGTCAGGGAATATATTCATTGTTCACCACAATATGCCCAGCACAGTAACTGCACTGTAGCAGGCATTCCATTGTTTAAGTCAATGTATTAATATAAGACACAGCCCCTGTACATCCTCTAAGTATTGACAATCTAGAATTCTGATCAAAAAGACAGACTCAACACAGAATCAGCCACTATATATACAAGACAATAAAGCTTACATGGCTTTTATTCCAATTTATGTCTCATTACATGATGTTTTTTCAGTTACAAGAAACAGCCATTTTGCAGGTTAATACTCTTTTACTCCCTCTTCGTTTCCCTGCTCTCAGTGCCAAAATACATTTAATTATAGGAACTGCTTTAGATGTGACTTATATTCCCGGGGAGATTTGCAAATGTCAAAGCACCTAGAGGTAAAGCAGCATAGGGATGATATTTTCATAAACACAGCTCTGTTACAGAATCACTTTAAGAACATAGTTATTTAACACATGTTCATTGTAGGAAACTGGAGTAGGGGTGGGGGAGGGGGAGAAGAAACATAAAATTATCACCCTTGATTCCTTCCAGTCTTTTCTCTAGTATGTTTCATCTTTTTAAACTATAGTATGTTTCTTGTATTATACATACTATTTCCTGCCTTTTAAATTTAACAACCTATGTAATTTTGTCATTAAATGTCTTTCTAAAAATGCAAATTTTTATGACTGCAAATGTTTGTCCTGTGGATATACCACAATCTGTATTATCTACCCCTTACTGTTGAATGTGAGAATTTTTACTCTTAGGAAATGAATCATTTATTAAAAAATGCTTTTTCAAATTATTGTGCTCTGCTTCTGATCTGATGCAATGACCTCACCCCAGCCCTTCTTTGTTCTTTTCCCTCTTTTTTTTTTTTAAACAAATATCCTTGCAGTTCACCTCATTAAAATTTGTTAACACAGTTCTTAACTGCATGCTTATACTGCTATTTTCAGTTTCAGGTAGTAACTTCTGACATTTTTCCTCTTTAGGACATCCGTCCTAGAGCCCTCTGTTCTGCTCTAATTTGCATTTAATATTCTCTAAGTTTGCTTACAGATTCAATTCATAAAGACTGAGGACACATTTACCTAGCTCTTCTTCCTACACATTTAAATTTTCCTCCGCAGGAATCAGTGACCAGCGAAATCTTGCCAAGCATCCCCACAGCACCTAAAAGTGTACGGATTTGGTCATCAGGTAGACGATCCTTTCCCTACTTAAGTCAGGACACGGCTGACTAGATGGGGCTGTGGTTTCTTACCCATAGAGAAGTACAGAAAGAGCATCTTCTGCAGGCCAATGTCTAAAGCTTCCGTGAGGAGGCTGTTTCCAGCAGTGCACAGAGGAACACAACTTGACTTTGAGGCCGGGCAGAGCCTGGCGCTGCAGAAAGAGGCTACAGCTACAGGCCCGCAGACGTGACTGAATGAATTCCCCGGTAGGAGGCCCGCATTGGCAAATACCTGGAAGTGGAGGTGGACACTGGGAGCTCAGCCAGCCGTATCCCAGGACAGCTTACGGAGTTCAGGGTCAGGCTGGGGGCCCACGGACCCGTCCCCAGAGTAACAGCCCCTGCGTACGCCACGCGCTTGCGCACTCCTCGCCCCGCCCCCGACCGGGCCGGTGAGGGGCTCGGCGCTGCGGCGAAGGGGTGGGACTGTTTCCCGCGACGCCGGAACCTTCGGGGGCCGGGACTGTGGGGAGCCGGGAACGGCGGGACCGCAGGCATGCGCACAGCCATTCTTCCGTCCCTGTCGCTAACTCCGTGACAGTGCTCTCTAAGAGCATGTGAGGCGTGTTCAGGTTCCTCCGACCGCATTTTGTCCCCGCGCGCTCTTCTCGGGCGCGCATTCTCTGGAGTCCTGGCTGCCCGGGCCGTGGGTTGGCTGCTCCTCTTGGGGGCAGCTGGGCTCGCCTGCTTACCAGTTACAGCCTTTGACACCTCCCGCACCCATGCCGGTAAATGGAGGGGCGGGGCTTCGGCGGTGGGGGCGGGGTTTAGAGTCGAGGGGCTGGGGAGCAGGTCCCGGGTCCTCCCCGTCCCGCGTTTTGCGAAGGTACTTCACAGTACCTTGGCGCGCGACTCTAAACCTGTAAGGTGAGCTAGAGGAGGTTAAACACAAAAGCCACAAGCCTCCGGCCCCCATTACCCCAGCCTTCGCAGCTTTGTGGCCGCTCCTGGTTATCTGGGGAGTCGGGCTTTGTCGTTCTGAGGCGGGACTGGCCGCACTATTACTAAAATATTGTAAAGGAAATACAGCAGTGAAGCGTTTTGGGATGCTCTTAAGATGCATGAAACTTCTGACCACCAAGGAGCCAACAAAGCCTAAGCACCCTGTGAGAACCCTAATCTAGAATACAGAGACTTTGTGGGCGTGGGAAGAGGAAGACGACTGGTTTTATTTACAAACATTTTTGATGATAGACTAGATTCGGCTGTGGTTTCTTTATGACTGTGGGCTGGGCAAGTGAGTTGATTCATTTCTTTGGGCCAGAGTCCGTGGGCTGGATTTCTGTGCTAGGTGCTGTGGATCCAACCCTCGTTGAGCTTGCACTGTAGTAGGACAGAAGGATACGTCAGTAGTAATTAGAACAAAGTGATAATGTTTGAGAGGAAAGGAAGGCCAGTACAAACCAGGTGAGTTTCTCCATCTGTAAAACGACGATATTAGATTACTATCATTGCAGTTCTGCTTTTGTGTGTTTACATATTAGCTTCTCAAATTTATTTGAGGAAAGTATTATTAGGCCAAGAAGAATTTTAAAATAGACTAATTGTTATCTGAAGAGTTCTCCAGCCCTGGCATTTTACGATTAAAAAGGGGCCATTTTTCCAGAGCCATTTCAGGCCACAGTAACCAAGTAAAGTAATATTTAAGACGAAAAATCTTCTCGGTGAATTCAGATACAACAAATTCGTTTTGAAAATGGTACTTTTGCTTTAAAAACCATAATAATCTAGTATTTGCTATACTGTTTGTAAATTAGCCTTTCTACCATCTCAAGATGAATGGGATTTACTGTTCTCTGGTGTATATCTCAATAGAATTTAAGCCTATTAATCTGGCCTTTTTTCTAATTTAATTTATTGGTAGACATAAACCCTTACTCCCTACCTCCATTAGAATTAAACACTGAAGAAACATCTGGATTTATACAAGACATATTCTGTAAGTTATTTGTTTGGGAAAAAAATGACATATGCTTTTCCCAAAGCAATTAAGGATTTCTTTAAATAGCTGGGAGAGTGGAAATACCTTAGGCTTTAAAAGTTAGGCAAATCTTGCTTCTAATAACTTACTTAGTTGTATGACCTAGACAGTAACTGTTTATAAGTCAGAGTTTCCTTCTGTGTATAAATGGCATTAATTGTGTTTGTCTATTTTGATGGTTGTGAAAGTTAAAATATATGTGAAAGCCCCAAGTAGAGGATCTGTCATATAGATATTATTAACAAATGTTATTTTTTCCATACTTTTTTCTTTCCTTCTCTTGTATTTTTCAGATGTTTCCATCAACACTCATTTTTTTTTTAATCTTCTCAGGAATACGTCTAATGGACTTAACAACATAAGGCAGTATATGGTTTTCTGTGTGTTTGTTTTAATGTTCTTCCCACACATTTCCAGCCTTTGAAATGAAGTAAAATTCCATTGCAAGGTGCCTGGACGGAGTTGGTGATCATTAGGAGCTGAATTTTTAACTTTACAAGGCAAACATCAAGTAATAGTTTTAATGTCTGAATTCTGCATGGAGTCAGTATAGTCAGATTTCTGGTTATTGTAAGTTTATAAAGGAACCCTTTGAACGTTTGAAAAGCCTCCAGTTCTTGTTTTTTCTTTAAACTCTTCCAGCGTCTCCACAAGGTATAAATGTACCATCTTTTCAGTTTTCTATGTGTGGATGGTAGAATATAGAAGTTGCCAGTTTGTATCTGATACTCAGTTTCAGTGAGCTAGGATTAAAACAGATTTCCTGGCTCTTTGGCCATTCTGGTTTTCTTTGTGTCCTGGGATCACCTGAATAAAGTAATATAAATAACCATTTATATAGAGTGCTTGCTCTGTTGTATGCCCTCTTCTAAGTGCTTCTACATATATTAAATTCTCATGACAACTAGCAGAGAGATAAACTATCTTGCCCAAAGTCACACAGCTGTTAAGTGACAGACTGGGATTTGAAACTAGCGGATCTAACTCCAAAGTCAGTGTTTTTAACCCTAATGCTATTCTAGGAGTAGATTTATGTGTAGCTCAAATTGCTTAACTTTTAAAAGTTTTTGTTTTGTTTTTGGGTTGGTTAGATTTTCCAGGTAAATAAAGCCTTTTCAAACAATTACTTTATAATTATTTAAATATTCTTTAATTGAATACTTATTTTATTTAAAAAGATCTTTTGCTTGTTATAGGCATAAGGGCCATTTGTTCTGAAATTATTTTGAGGCAAGAAGTTTTGAAAGATGGTTTCCACAGGTAAGTTGCCCATTGACTTATGCTTAAATCAGACTACTGTTTAATATAATTTAGAGCAAAAAAATAGAGCAACTCTTGAGTTGAAAAATGGATAAACTGAAAAAGTCACTTGTTTTCTTAAAGTTATAAGTGACAGATGTGTGGTTCATAGTTTGAAATACTGATTAAAATAACAGTGGAGAAAAGAAGGAGAAAACCAACATTTATTATTTACTATGCATATTATTTACTATACATATTTATTATGCATATATTTACATAGCTAGGGGCTATATATACAGCATTCCATTTAATCTTCACAATGGTTGTGGGATAGATGATACTTTTCTTGTATTTCAGACGAAGGAACTAGTGTTCAGAGAATTTAAATAATTTGGTATAGGGTAGGGTGGTAGAGCTCTGAATCAAATTTAGGACTATCATATCCCAAAGCCACACTCTCAAGTACTGAGATATTATACCACCCAAACTCACTATTTCTGATTTACAGGACTTGGTTTCAAAGACCAAGCTGTTTCCAAAATAGAAATTATCCTCAGAAATGAATATTTGCCAGTATTGAAGGTATTAAAAAGACTGATAAAAAGTTGTGGGAACTGTTCTATAAGAAGTTCCCAAACTTAAAAGCTTCTCAAGGTGATGACTTTGAAATTATTCTCAGATGTTTGATTTATGAGTTCTAATACATTTATTTTTTAAATCCTTTCATTTTATAAGTCACCTTAAACTAAAATAACTCACTTTCCTTCCTCTTCAAGGTTAGCCTATGTGTGAATGGCTAGGAGGTATTGTAGAAAGAACTTCGGGTTTTTTTGTTTGTTTTTAATTCAGATCAATTTGGGCTCAAAGTGTAGCTCTATTATTTAGTATCTGTGTGGCCTTAGTCAAGTTACTTAAGTCTTTGCTACCCTTACTGGTACAATTAGACCATGATTGTATTTCCTTATTAGGGTTGTGAGGATTAAATTGGAGAATATAAGGAAAGCTCCTTAATGTAGGGCTTGTCACACAGTACATACCCAGGAAATGTTAGCTATTATTATTAATAATGAGATAGGTGATCAATCTGCACAGTGCAGTTTCAAAGAGGAGATGTGACTGTAAAGTAATAAAACTGATTTGGGGAGGGAAGGCACTTCTGAAGGGAGTTTTTGACAGAGTTCCAGACACATTTTAAGCAATATCAGGGTAATTATGCCAGTTATGTAGCTTCTCTCTTTAACGTTAATTGGAATGTATTTTTAAGAGGAATGGGAGATAACTGATTCCAATAAAGAAGAAAGAAGTGCCCGAAGAGGCTTTTGTGACAACAAAAGTGGCTCAAAAGTTGTCCACTTGCAAGTACTGAGGATAAAAAGCAGGACATAAAACCAAGAATGAAGAGTTGCAGAATCCACAAGAATAGCTTCACAAACTAGAAATGTCAGAGTTACTTGAGACCTTCAGAAAATGCCAACAATAATTTTTTTTTTCAGGCTTCCTAGTTATATTTGGAGCAGATGTAGTCTTGCTGAGAGGGTGGATGAGAAAATACTAGCATATTATAGAATGTAGAATTTGTTAGCTCCTCTTATTTCTGTCTTCTTAGTCAAGAATTACTTCCACTCTCGAAAGGGCCAAGCAGTTGCGGGTAGTAGGAAACTGAAGTGCAGAAAAGGTAAGGGAATTGTACTAAAGGGCCTTAGTACTGTAAATGAGTTTCGAATCTCCCCTCTCTGATGAACTATGTCTCATTGCAGTAGGAGAACTTGCTTAAACGATTGCTGAACTTTTGTTGGTAATCTTTGGATAATCTGGAAGCTAGTTAGTTGATGTCGATTTTGGGCAAAATTCTGGACCGATTATTAAAAGGGTGCTTGTGAACACAGAAAAGGAATTGTTGGCCTGTAGGAATTAGCATGAATTTATTACAAGCTTATTTCTTTTATAGAGCTACTAGATAAATGAAGCAGAGAAATGCTATAGCTTTAGTATATCGGATTTTCGGCGAGACTTTTGATAAAATTTTATATGTCATGTTTGTGAACAAGATGAACAATGTGAACTGGAGGGTAATACAGGTGAATAACTTCAGAAAGATTAACAAATACATCCAACATGTTCTGATTAATTGATTGTCATCTCCAAGAGATGTCCTGTCTTTTTACAAGGGTCTCTGTCTCTGTCTGTGTTTTTTCTGATGATAAAATATTGCATGTTCATAAATACTTAGATAGTACCCAGAAGAAAAAAGATGATTGATATATTCCACTTTTGTAGAGGCAGAATGAAATGGTGGCTAAGAATTTGGGTTTTAGAGTAAAACTACAGAGTTTGAATCTTGGCTCTTGGCTGATTTACTTAGTTTCTCTGTGCTTTCCTTTCCTTTCTTTTTTCTTTT